TAAAACCCTAAAATCCTAAGCCCTGGGAACCCCTGGGCTCCACAAGTACAGACAGCACCGCTTCGAGGCCGGCGTCGGGCCCAGGGGCTCCTGGCAGCCACACTAGGGATTGCGTAAGGATTACATAAGGATTAGGCTTTAGGGATTAGGGTTTAGGGTTTAGGGTGTGGGGTTTAGGGTTTAGGGTTCAGGGATGGCTTGTTTTGGGGTTTAGGGCTTAGGGTTTAGGGTTTAGGGGATATATGATAATTATAGTTATAAAGGTTATATGGGGCAAAGAAAGGGTTTCATGGGCATTACGCAGGGGCTTTATATGACATAGCTTACCTTTGGCTAGCAGGGAATACAAGAATGGAAAGGAAAAGGGTAGTTAGGTTCGGAGTTGAGGATTTGGGGTTCATATGGGGGTTTATATAGGCATTGTATGGGGTAATACCCCAAAAATGGAAAATCAGATGTAACAAAAATGGAAACTCAAGTGCAAACTGAGGCTTATGTAGGGTTCGTATAACTCACCTCTGGGTAATAGTGAATGAAGGAAGAAAATGGAAAGTGATTGGGGATTAAGTATATAGGGACTACTATAAAGATCCGCTCCTTCGAAATGATGCCCCTTGTGTTGGAGGATAGATTTACTTATATATATATATGTGTGTGTGTGTATGATATACAAATATGTAGCTGTATACGCGTGAAAATGTGAACAGCTTCGTGTCTATAGATCCATACAGTATGTATATAGTGTGTAGATATGTCTATGCAAAATGAACCGGGTCATCTCTGCATGAAGAATGCACAGATATTGGTTAAGCGCTTCCACGCTCTTTAGCGCGACGTTTGACATACACCTTATGTCAGATGCACCGCATGTTTCAAGACAAGCTACAAGTAGCTAATCAAGCCATGTGGGGGTTTCGCCACATTAGGGGTACCTTTTTAGGGATCATAATGAGGATTGCAGTATTTTGGGGTCCATATTGGGATTCGCCTGTTTAAGGAAACTACCATGTCAGGCCCTTCAGCGCCTGGGCTGGCAACTGTCCCGTTACCGTTGTTGAGGTGGCTCCGCGCCTGCAAACAAAAGATTTGAGGCGTTTCTTGCAGCATGTGTTGTGGACGCGCAACACACCTGTTGCTCTTGTCGCACCTGTGGTAATGAGTACCCTGACTGCCCCTGTTTAAACTTTTATGCTCATCTTGTCTTTCTCGAACTGACTGCGATTCTACCATTACTGTTTCTGGGGCTGCCGGTGTTACTCGTGTCCACTACAAGGCTTCCTTCGCAAAGCGGGATTCCGATTGCAGGGACCGCCCAAAAAAGCACAGATAGAACCAAAATGGTGGTCAACCCCAACATGACCCCTGTAGTATCGCTACATGATGTAATACATCATGTTACAAGAATATCTTGAGAACCCCTCACCTGATCTCCCAACCCCTTGTCTGAAGCCACGATAGCAAAATCCCTATCTTGCAACTCCCTACACGTACAGGGGGCCTGCCTGAGGTTTCGGTAGCATGGCTGGGCGCACAGGCTCCCAAAAGCCAACTGTGGACTTGTCGTCGCCCGGCGTGCTCTCCAGGTAGACGTTCACCCACCTAGAATTCTTATGAAAAGAGTTCAAGAGGGTTGCCTAAAATACTGGGTTGCTGTGGAGAATTGTGGAAAGAAACGATGTGCGATTCCAGATGGAGTACATGCACATGAACGTAGGGATCCCCCAAAGAGGCTTCCACGGACTAACCCTCATAAAGTGACACCCTCAGCAAAGGATCCCTTTTTGCTTGTTCGGGAGCCCTGGTTCACCGGCCTCTCGTCAGAGCCCCAGTCGTAAGCAACCAGCTGCCGCTTGAACGGAATGCTCCCGTCAAACGGCGGCTTCTTGAGGATGGGTACCTGCCGCAAAGAAACTCTGTACTACCCTATCCACCCGTCCTTAAAACAGTGGTTTCTGAAAATCAGGGCTCCCTTTTCCTATAGTAAGGACTATGGTATATTGGGGTCTATATTGGGGTCCCCCTAGTTATCAAAATTACATGCTAGGCCTGAAACAAAACCTAGTTTGTGCTTGTGTGGGCATTGTTCTGGGAAGGGTGTCTTTTCCCCGCAGTCTGGGCATTATGGAGCCTACGCTGCCTGTACTAGAATCCCCCGTTACCATGCTTATAATTCTTACTATTCTTACTATTCTTACTCTTATCACAATTATGAACATTATTACTATTATTACGATTGTTACTACTATTGCGACTCTTACTATTAATATTCTCACCGAAACAGAGGTAGATGATGGTTTACGAAAATGAAAAGGTTCCAGAAGGTACATCGCAAATCTGCGAGAAATCTTGCATCAGGATCCCCATAAGTCACCCCACATTGCTTAGAAACTTCCAGAGGCAACAAGACGGGGCACCCGTCGAAGTACAAACCGGCCTGGCCGACTAGAGATAAGCGTGGTGTGGATTTCTAGGTTTCTAGGTCGTGCCAACATGATCATGCTTCGCATGAACAAGCATTCAACAAGTAAACAAATTGCAGGAACGTGTTCTTGCTCACAATCCTGAAATGACTGCTTTCGCCTCATGAATCCTCACGCAATCCCACTGCAAGCAGTAATCTGAGGGAGCGTCGAAAGTACGAGCTATCCCATGTGGATCTTGACACGAACTCCTTGGAGCCAGCAAATGGACAAGCAAAAAGCCCTTCGGCCGGAATGCTGGCTTAGGCTTGGATTTTGTTTTCAAAAGTACCTCACCATAATACTGAAACCACCACCCCTTGGACATATCTAATATTGGGTGGGTCGGTGGTCTCGAACATTAGCGAAAGGTGATTACAGGCCTAGCCTGCTCCTTCATGCACGCCGGGGATATGGACTGCTTTCTTCGCAGATCCGGACAACAACGAAGCCAAGCAAATCCAGAAAGCGCTGAGGGAAGCTCGTCTCGGCACCACTTGGGAAAGGCAAGGACCTCAGCATCAGGACAATAACGTCAGTGGCAAACGTTTACATTGACTACGTGCAAGAGTCGGGGATGCGTCAAAAGAGTCAAGCCCATCCCTTCTTTGGAATTCTCGTAGTCATGATCTCCTGTTCCGACAGCTCACGGCTAGCAGCGCTGATGGCTACCCATGAGTTGGGGACGTACGCGGCCGGCAGGCTCAGCAGAAAACGTATCCTGCAAAGTCAAACTAGGATGTCTCAGAATGGAAGCCCGCTTCTATAGCCTCAATGTAACACAGTGGGCATCAGTTTTCAGTACCCAAAGAAGGATGCAGATCTTTCAGAGTACCCACAAATCTGGCCGACGGTGGCAGATATCTGAAACAGCTTCCATCCCGTGTCCTGCTGGGCTTTGTCATGTACAAGCCTCCAAAGGTCGGATGCCAGTGGTGCAAAACACTGTTGCTTTGCTTGGCATGTGCCAAGAACACTTCCAAGTGCATACGTAGGCGGGCCTAGCAAACCCAGGAAAAGCAAGCTGGTGTGAATGTGCCCCACTGTCAGCACCTGGGCAAGCAAGAAGTCAGAAACAAAGGCGCTTGGGAATCAAGCCATGTGAGACCTCGTATGTTTTTTTGCCAAAGAGTAAAGGAACAGAGTTCGTATTCGGGAATGTGCGAGGGGCTATTCTTCATCACTGTGGGAAATTCCACTAGACGTCCCTTGCCAACCATACTATTTGCAGTATCGCGCGTTAGCGGTCTCTACTACCCACACTCAACTGACTGGCCGATTGGGAGCTGCACTGCAACCGTTGCAGCGGCAAAGGCATCCCGATCCCGAAGCCAGGACAGCCTCAGCAGTGCAGACTCTCACAAAGGGAATAAAGTAGGAGCCTGTTAAATCAGAATAGGTTTTCGGGGTACATTGTAAAATGGATATTCAACTCATATAAGGGCATGATAGAAGTGATTCAGGCCATTACAGTATTCCGCCCCTGCTGTCCCCGAAGCACTCAGCTGTTTTCAGCTCTTCCGCTTCAAGGGTCGGCTTTTGGAAAGCACCCATCTCCAGGCAAATCGCATCCCAATCCTTTGTCCAACGGCCCGACTCATCTCGCACCTCGTTCTTTCGCAGCAGTCACTTGCTTCACAAGTCTGAGGCTCGCAGTCTAACTTGAAAGCACTTTGGAAGGAGTTCGCAGGCCATGCTAGCGAGGAACCACCAACTCTTGTTCGTCCACTGCCAGTTCTGAAGGCGACCGGCTGCAAACCAGCACCTGCCACTTCCTTAGGTCTCCCAGTCTAGCAAGGCACCGAACTTCTTGATGCAGAGGTTGAGCAAGTTACAGATTTGCCTTTCTACTGTCCAATCTTGGGCTGAGCAGCGGTTCTCCTCTAGAAAATGCGGTGAGACGCCGCAGGGTTTTCAGGCCCACATCTGCCAGTGCTCGGTCCACATCGGCACTGCGACTGGCAACCTTCCCAGAAAAGGCAGGCCCAAAGGCCTAGAGGTTTAGGGTTTCTGGGTTTGAGGGTTGGAGCAGGGTTGAGGGTAGACGTGATCATGTTGACCACGGCTGTTCTCATATGATCCTTCTGAAATACATGGCGAACAACCATCAGCACCCAAGCAGTGTGCTTCGAGCCTACTTATGCAAGCAACACAACATGATCAGAGATCCTGTCTGCTGCAGGTGCACAAAATCGTACTTGCCTTAAATAGGGGCGCCCCGATGTAGACCCCAAAATACTATACTCCTTATTATGGGGACCCCCAAAAAGGGCTCACTAATTTTGCCCTAATCCCTAAACCCTATATACCCCTGTATATCACTGCATAACCCTTTAATAAAAGTACCCCTACAAATGCCAGCAGGCAGCATGTACCATACAGAACTTCCCCTCGTCAGTCAGGGCCTTCACGGCAGCCTGGATCAACCCTCCCGGGCATGCTTCAGGGTTTAGGGTTTTAGGGTTCAGGCTACTTCAGCACTTGGGGGTTTCCCAAACTTAGGAGTACCTTTTTGGGGGACCCCATTATAAGGATTATAGTATATTCGAGTCTAATATTAGGGCCCCCCTATTTTGGGAAATTACCACTTGAAGCCCTTACAAGAAATCTCACCATTGCATTGGGATGCCCATGCTACAAAGTGCTCTGGCTCACGTACGATCCCTATAGTCTCCGAGGCTTTACACCCAATGCAGCTTTGATCCCTTTTTATACAGCCTGTGCAAATTCATAGGGCCCGCCACGTAGCTCATAGTAGCAGTATCGACGCTGGCTGTGGGCTGGGAGTTTCCTGAGAGCTGCCATACCCATGTCGTTATAAAAGTGGTAGCAATGTAGCAGTGGGAGCACAAGATACTTGTAGCAGCAAGAAGACAAGCAACGGGATGAGTACCAAGCCCCGGCAGGCATCTCCTCTCGTCACAGTTTTTCAAACCCCTGAACCGCGTCCTGTCGCCAGGAATGATGTAGGGCGGATTGGCAGTCACCACATCGAACTTTGCCTTAAAGGGCTGCATCAGGCCTGGCCCGGAATGCCAATTGAGAATACACAGGAGGGTAGTGGCTTTACACGGGACCTTTTCCGGTCCGACATGGCTACATAGACCATAATACATATATGATCCCATCATCATGGTCTCACGCTCGAAACCTATATATCACATCCATAGCTGATCCAAAATCGTGCATACAGAATCCCTGCCCTAGAACCCGAGCCCTTCCAGCCATTGAGGCCTTCGTCACGCAGATCACCCTGAAGAACGCGAACGCGCGGTTGAAGCTCCAGGAGCCCCACTGTGCGATTTAGCAATTCCGTGCTCTCCTCTTGCGCCTGAGGGCTTCCAGCCCACAGAAACAGAAACAATGCTGGCAGCAATGACCAGTGGAGATCGTAGAAGCTAGGATAGCATAACAAAGAACAGCACGTGCTCTCTTCCTGAGGCGGAAGAGCCAAGGAGCTGCTAACATTTGCCAATTCCCTGTAAGAAGGACATCATCCAAGGACGTCCCCAGGGATGTTGCTAGATTATGTGATGAACCTTCCCAGCCTCCACAGCTGTCAAGCGCGCTTGGGGCCGCTGGGCTAGCCAGAAGAGGCCGACTGATCCAGTTCCAGCCTCTGGAAGTCGAGCCCTAACTGCCAGTTCCACTACTGAGGATTATGGTATTTAGGTATTGTCGGAAGGACTATAGTCCGCAAGGGCTTAGGCGCATGACACTGATGATGTTCAGCGACATATTTGAAGAGCATACCATTTAGGGGTATCTACAAGTATTGGAATGTCTGCAGGATTATGGTATGTAGGGACATGTAAGGAGAACTCGCATTTGGGAAATTGCCTCTCCAATATGTCATCGTAATATGTTTTGCGGCGGTAGCGCTGGTAGCACTGATCTCATCATTGCTTCCACGGTGGGACACGAGCACTCCGATTGATACTACAAATGACCATCTTAGACCACGACAATAATAGGCTACATGGAGTATTACATCTCATGGGAGTATTACATCTCATGAAAAGATCAAAACTATTGATACATCTTGGAAGTAGTTCCTGAGGATACAAACAGAATGCTGGTACAGAAGGTATCCCTCGAACCCTGAAAGTAGGACTTGCACGAGAAATCCCGACATGCTCGTCGGCGCTCGCGTTGCAAATTGTTCGCTGGATCATACTGGCTGAGCATGAGAGGCGACTTCGGGATAGAATGCGAAGTTCCAGCTCGCCCGACGAAGCCATGAGATCGCAGCACGCACAAGTGCTCTGCTGCTATGCTCTCATTGCCCTTTTTTCCTCCTCCTGCCTCTGAGTGTTGGAGGCCCTTACAGCCTTGAAGAGCTCAACTCTCAATTGTTGAAACTCAGGATGGTTATGCAGTGGGCTGACTGCTGCAGAAGGGTAGGCGCGGTCCTACATGTCGGTTCGAACTTAAGATGCGGAGCGGACCGAGTGCTACACACGAGTCTGCCGGATTGAAACTGAGAGAAGCTTGAGTAGGGAACCGTATTGCATGCTAATGCAAATTCAAGGAAATGCCCCAAAATTCAGCTCTAAAACCTTGAACCCCAAGCCGATATTCCCCGAAATCCCTTAATCCCTCCACCACCAACCTGTAGCCCATTGCAGCCCTAAATCCATAACTCCCTAAGCCCCTCAACCCCTGACCTGGAGCCCCAATCTCTCAACCCTAAACCCTAAGTAGTAGTCATTCTAGATTCCATTATCCCCATAAACCCCCTATATAACCCCAATATTTCCAAAAATCCATAAAACCTCCGAGCAACACCCAGGTCCAGCAGGTGATCCGCAGAGGGAGCTGCTCGCCAGGCTTCTCGTGCCTGCTACTACTTGGAGGGTTTGAGGGTTTAGGGTTTGGGGCTTCAGCTTTGGGGTGTAGGGTGCAGTTTTTTGGGGTTCAGGTATGGAGTCTAGGGACTAGAGATTTATGAGTTTGGTTGCTTCAGGGGTTGAAGGGAATGAGGGGTTGGGTGCCTGGGAATTTAGGTTTCAGCGGTTTTGGAGTTTGACAGGCTTCGAGATTTGGGGGCTTCGGTTGTTCATGCTTTAGGACCAGATTTGACATCCATTTCTAGATATACAAGTCCCTATAACATGCCCAAAGACTCCACAGTCCTCAGCGATATCCCACGAAATCCCACGGGTGACGGGACTTCTGGTGTTGAGAGGTTCCTACATTCCGTGAAATACATCCGAGAATTTGGGAACGTCCCTGAATTGCAAATAGGAATAGAAAATATATGGCTGTTGCAATTTGTGCTACCAATGAGGTGACTGGTGCTGCGGCGTCCCTCTGTGTTCCCTTTTATCCAAAAACTGGCATCCAGTTGCCAGGAGGATATCGTCGCCGTTGAAACGGTAACCACCCAGCACCTGATGAATAGACCTTGCGCATCGCTGCGGTTGATACTGGCTCGTCCAAACTGTTAGTTGCATCGCTGTCTCTAGAAGCCGAGATACCAGCCGCGGCACAAGCGGTCAAGCACAACAGGTTTGCCAGAGGCGGTCGGTAGAGGGGAAGCTGCCCCAAGCTGAGCATATTGGACGACCTCAGCATGATTAAGGGTTTCGCGTGTCTTGGATGGCAGGACCAAAGCAAGAATCTACTTTTCTACAACTACAACCAAATGACTCCACACAGGGGACTGTAGTGACTACAGTATCCAAAGCTCATACGCTAAATATCTGGGTGTCATGAACCGACAACGAAAAAGATGGTCGTGTGGGGGACACAGTGATTCAAAGCTGTGAACGTTCGCTGCTTCTTCTTCTCCAATGCCTAGAGCATTCTTCGCCGCCCGGACCTCACAAGAGAGCGAGGGGCCCCCTTTCCAAGCTGAAACGGATCTTAGCCCCTGCCCTTTGCAGGCAGAAGGTGGCAAAAGTGCATGCCTGCATATGCATATGCATGATACATATACATATGCAAGTTTGGGTACGTACCTGCTTGCTGACTTATCTTACAGGCAGAATTAACGTACTACAGGTCCATGTCTGAATCTGCCCTCAAAGCCACACGACCAAGCCGTACAGGTCGACGGGAACGGCACAGGTGCACGAATGCACAATGATGCCGGAACAGTGGAAGATAGAGCATGCACAGTTGGAATACAGCGTAGACCTTAGCTCAAGAAAGCACAGTTACAGCGAGCTTACCGAGCACAAGCAAAAGAACACAAACATGTTCACGCACCATGCACATACAAACTGCTGGAGAGTCCAAGGCACTCTCAAACACCAACGAGCTGCAAGTGGCGAACGCTGTATTCCGTCACAGGGGCGGCTCATGTTACCCCATTCTCATGCACGGCGGTGTTGCCAACTGGATACAATCGGAAAGTACAGTACAGGACAAGCCCTGCTTGGAGCCAAAGGCAGCAAGCGCATGACCTTCAACCTGAAGCATTTTGTTTTATTTTTGAGGGTTCAGCAAGGATAGGGCTTGATGGCTTGATGTGATTACGAAATTTTGTGAGGATCGCTGGGTGGATTCTTCAGGAAATGAAATTCCAGGAATCGATGTCCTTGATCCTGGCCTTCATTCACCCCCCGGTGTGCTGAGATAACGACGCTGCAGCAGCGAGGAGAATTGCCGGCCAGAGAAGCCAGTCTGGTGGCGCCTGGGATTGCAGAGTCTCACGCTTTTTTGGCTGGGAGCTGTGTAATGGTCGTCGATTTACACATGCTGCTCCAAAGCCTGCATTGCCTACATGCAATGGTGATACTCCAGCCCACCGTTTTTCTTGATGCGTGGCCTCAACGCCGCCTAGATACTTTGAACACCTACGCGGGAGCTGGCGAACAGCATGGTCTGCGCCCAGAAAAGACTTGGGAGCTGTGCTGCAGGAATGCTTTTCAGCTACAGTTGGTCACTCTGGGAATCCTGCATGTTAGCGGTTTGCACCTTCAAACCGCTTGAAACGCTTCGGAAAAGTACCGGACGCACGCGTCCCCTGTGTTGCCCATGTTATACAAGCGATGCCATCTTCAAGTGTGAGCGGCATGTGCCAACGATTCCTGCTCCACGAATGGTGGCTCTGGCTGTTTGCGACCCCAATCACATAGGGCCTTGCCCTTCTTCCAGGGCTGTGAACACCACCTTTCCCGCCGTTGTGTCGCCCCATGGCACTCTCCCGGCTGGCTTCAGCATTACTGAATTTAGTTATTCACCTGTCTCCAACTTTGTGCAGGTATTTCACGCATGTGCATTTGAAGTGCTCCGCACAAAATTACATCTTGTGGTGGTGTCGGCGTGCGAAGGGCGCCAATTTGTCGAGGCACCCGGCTGATATTTCAGTTTGGCCCTCAGCGGCTCCCCAGAACTGATGCAGAACCTCGGTCTCCGATGAATTTCCAGGGTCAGGGTACCGACGAATTCTAAGGGTTTGCCACGGGCCACGGTCCCGGAATGCGAAATCTATGCTTATGGGGGCCCCAAGAGTGGTGCAGGGCTCAGTGTTCGCGAAACAGCCACCGGATGCAACCGGGGATTTTGGGTGTCGCTCATTTTTGGCTCCAGGCGCCATCTCGCGTCAAGCCTCTAAAAATCGTTCTTTTCGCGCATTGACTCGATCCGTGCTCTCTGAGATGGCTTTCACATGTAGTCGTCGCAACCTCCTCATGACAATGGTCGAGCGACTCGTCCCAAGAAGACGAAACAGGACGATGGCCGATACTTGTCAGACAGGGAGTCAGACATACTTGTAGCGGGTTAAGTATGACTTCTGCAAGGGTCCTGCATGATTACAACTACACGAAATCCGGGAGTCCCTTCGTTCAACCTGGGACATCACGCACAGCTGCAAGCTTGATACTGGAAACACGTGATCAAGTATGCCCAGAATGTCTCAGAAAGACTGCAATCTGGCAACAAACTGCAGCCCCAAACCCGGCCCCGACCCGCGCCCCAAAAATCCTTCACACTGACCCAATTTTCACCCGCCTGACCCACATCTCTGTCTGCTTGACTTACATGTCAACTGCTTGACTCACATATTCTGAGGCCAAGACCCACGTTTCTAAGTCCCTGACTCAGAATCCTAATTACCCATGTGGCCCCATTTCTATGACACCTTGCAACAAAATGACTGTATAACGGTCGTAGCAGTAATGGTGGTACTTGTTGTACTTACAAAAGAAATGCGGCAATACTCTCCTCAGCAACTCGATCCACACAGCGGTTCTAACATGTGACTTCAGGGACTGGGAGCGGCACTAGAACAAGGAGCATGAACATGTCCGGCAGGCCCACAGGCATCTTCATTGTGACCCACATGCGAGCCTGACTTGACTTCTTGCTATTGCACTTCTGGTTTTGCATACACACGCGTAGCGCTGATCGGTCCACGGGGCCTTCTTTCGTGAACCAAACCAGAGGAAGAGGAGCACCTGGCCACGCAAACGGATGACTTCACAGATGAGGAAACCTCCACTGCTCCGCGCCAAGGTGCTCCCCAAGTGTACGGCAGCAGCAGCGATCGCATCCCCAGGTCCAGCCTCGAGTGGAAAGCAATTCGGGGTGGGAGACGCATTTCAGCTGGGGTCGCCACAGAAAGTCCGAGGCATGTGGATCTCCGCTTAGGAGTGATCGCAGAACCAGGCCAAGGAATGCTCGCAGCAACATCAGCGTGCCAAGAAGGACATGCCATGCAGCATAACCCTTCAGCATTTGCCGCTGAAGGCTGTGCAGCTTCTGATGCCATCGCGTCTCACGCCCGCTACGCTCACCGTGCTGAGCAGTAAGCAAGTTTCGATTGACCTTGCTGGTAGCAGGATGTAAAGGCAGTCGCGACCAAATGCGAGGCCTGGAGTTACCAAGGACCGGCTTCAGCTTTTGCATGGCTTTGTCGAGCACAGTATTCAATGGTGGTCCTTCACGGGCAGTTCCAGCGGCATTTCGCGCATCTTCCAGGACAAGATAGGCGTCTGTGTTGCCATCGCAAGACACCAGCGCTGCAGCGGTAACCCCTGGAACCTTGGCGGTGCCCAGACAGTACTTTATTGTGACTTTGCTTCTAATTTCTTGGTCTGGGAGCATGTTAATAAATTTGGCATCAGGATCCCTCTTCAACTGGTAGTCTCTTGGCTACCTGTGGGATATGATGGGATCAATAACAAAAAACTCAAAGACAACTGGAGCGGGGATTTGGGCTGTTGCCTGCTGGGCCACTTCTACAGCTGCAGCCTCAACTGCTGAGAGATCTTGCCATGCACCGCCTGACTTCGTCAGGGAGTCAGTTCGTCCCACATAAACGAGACCCCCACCAGGCACCCGCTTGAGCCTGTCACGCGTTCCATAATACCGCTTTGAATCCAGATACTTGAAGAATGTGCAACCGATGCGGCCAGCACCATCAACATAGCCTGCAAAAACTGTTGGACCAGTCAGGAACAACTCGCCACACTCCTGCTCTTGCGCCTCTGTGTCATCTTCCTTCAGAAGCTTGAAGTCCAGGTCTGGAAGCGGTTGCAGAATGTGACGTTCTGTCCCATCCACTGGATCCGTCCAAGTTCTGCAGTCGGAACCAAGGCACAACCAGTACTCTGACGCAATTAGCAACTCCACTACGGGCAGATGTTCGAGCCATTCCTTTGCCAACTTTGGTGGAATCTTCTCTGCCCAGGCAATGAGCACCCGCAGGCTCTTTGCACGCGTGCGCGGTCCGCCTGGCCACGCCCCTCGTAACTGCGAGGGAACAATGCCCAGCACAGAGACACTGTAGTCTGCGCAGATAGCCGCAATCTCCTCGGGCACATTCGCTCGGATGATGACATTGCACGCGCCAAAGGCCAGGGCGAGGTCTGCTTGGCCGAAGATGGCAGCACCCCAGTAGGCAGACGAGTACTGTAGCATCCTATCACTGCTTGTCGCCATACCGCGCAAAGCTGTCTTGTAATGCTCAATTTCCCAAAGCGCCATCCTGTGTGTTACTGCCACGCACTTGCTGTGGCGCGTCGTGCCCCCTGTAAAAACGTAGCAAAGTACAGATGCTGGAGACACCCGCGCAGAGTTCTGTAAGTTGGCAGGAAGCGCTGCTGCTTTGCGCACGTCTTCCAGCGAGAGCCGCAGACAGTCCTCAGGCAGAGATGGCACTTCGAAAGCAGAATCGTCGGAGATCAGAGCCAGCGGTCGCAGCTCTTTGGCAACTCGCGCAGCTCTTTCAGCTTCAGCTTGCCCACTTGGAAGATCGTTGCTTAACGCAACAACGGGTATGCCTAACCGCCATGCTGCAATGCAAGTCGCATACCACTCCCGGCCCTGCCGGAGGAAAATTGCAACAGGTCGTGGGGCCGAATCTTCCGAAACAGAGGCCTGCTTCAAGGCCTCGAAGCCTTCGAATAAACGGGAGATGCGTCCCGAAAAGTCCCACAGCTGAGCATAACTCCAGACGCCATCTCCTTGGTCCATGCCCTGGTTGCCAGAAGGGTGCGATCCCAATTGCCCCCCTACTACAGAAACCTTTCAGGAACCCCAAACCAGTGCCACTAAAGGGATCCTGAGCAGTAATGTTTAGGTGACAATAACAAGCCCCCCCACCCCCCCAGAACCTTGTTTTGCGATTTGGGCTTACGGAAGGAGGGGGGGATCGCAATAGCAAATGACGGGGACATGGGTAGGACCAGGTAGTGCAGCTTGTAATCCTAGTACGGCAAGTAGAAGGGAATCTAACAAAAACGGGACGTTTCCGGCCGGACAATTATGTTACTGCCACCCCTTCATTATTGCGATTTGGACTTGGTTGTATATTCTCGCGCTCCGAACTTGTTAGAAAGCAAATTTGATTGTCCGGGATTTTTCCCAGCAGCAAGACGCCATTGTTACCCCCTTTATTAATGCTACTTCAACATTACCAAAGTCACTGTCCAAGACAGCTGGCGCCTCAGGCTGCGTGTGTGCCAAGCCCTCATAGATGCTCCCCAGGCCATCCGCGGCCATGGACATAGGGCTCTAAGAAAAGATTATCATGAACACTTGAGCATTTGTGTGATTCTCCTTACAGTTTTCAAATTACGCGGGATGCAGCCCTTGAAAGGAGATGCATTCACGCATAAGGGTCATTGGAGACCTTTGTTCATCGTAGGCTCCGCAGCATGCCTCTTGACATTACTTAATCGCCTTCTTTCCATGAGGTCCTGCGGCTCAGAGCATGGCTGTTTGAAAGCTTCCTGGGCAGGGTTCCATGACTCTTTGGGCTTGAGTTTCTTGACCGCTTCTAGGCCGGCCCTTGATAGGGAAATCAAGCAGGGAGGCATAAGGGCTGGGATGAATTCTTCCGCAGCACGTCTCGGGGGCACAACAGCGAGAGCCCGAGGGCCCAATGTCCCACGATTTGGGAATACTCGATCATTAAAGGTAGCTTCGTCAATTCAGATAATTCAGGGATATTGGGACCCGGGAAGCATGGAGGCTCCTTGCGTGCATCGGCCTTCTTGGTATTGAATGCCATGTCTATCAGAGAATCGTCCTGGCCCCAGGCAAAACGGCACACGGCTTGTCAGCACAAAGTGACATGAAAGGAAATTCCTGTCCAGACATCTACACCCTAGCCGAGGTTACCCTGCTTCAATACAAGAATATGTAGAGGGAGCCTCAAATAGCCGGTCCCATCCCAACATCTGCATAAGCATGTCAAGTAAGCTTCGGACACTGAGTGGCCCCCTTTCCTATCCCCAAATCTACAATCATCCCTAGAAGGGCCCGCATAAAGAGACCCCTAAGTTCTGGAAACCCAACAACGTATTGTGATATGCAGGCTTCGAAGACTGGGGTGGCCTTAGGAATCCCAAAGATTTTCTGGGATTACAAGGGGATGACGGAGTTCCCCTATCAAGGATTCGAGGGGAATCACTTTGAGAAACTTGAACCAAACAATGCCTGAACATCCACCTTCCCTAAATCAAGTCCTCGCACAAAACTAGGGTGCGCCAAAAAACAAAAATTTGCTTTTCTCGAGGCCAATACGATTTACAGATTCGGCCACATACGCTTAGCTAGCCCAAACGAGAAACTCCTGTATACCGTAGGTCCTCAAAGTCCTGAAGCCTAAACCCCCGAAGCCTTGACCTAGGCGCCTCCTCACCACCAGGTGTGAAGGTCAGCTCGTGCCTGTCAAGGTCTGAGAAGTACTCGCGGGCCTGCCGGTTCAGGAGATTGGACGACGCCGCTACTTAGCGCAATACTGTTGATACTCAACATCTTCATGACCTTACTATACTAAAGTACTACAATTCCAAAAATGTAATACACTTAGGGTGCAGGATTTTTAGTATCTACCATAGTTGGGGTTTAGGGTTGAAGGGCTTAGCTTTTCTTGCGCGGTTTGGGCTCAGGGCTACGTCTTGACGTCCCTAAAGAAACGCACACCTACTAGGTTGGATCCTAGACTGCAAAGCTTCCTGCTAAAGTCGTTGCAATTTGCAGAAATTTACAACAGGTGGGTTGCCTGAAAATCTACCGTTTATATTTATTTGGATCCTTTCTACATCTTAAAACCAGCACCCAAGAAAGCACTGCATCTTTATCACATGCTCAACTTGCTCCAGTCTCAATATTCGGCTTCCTCTGACTTGGATTTCCATGCTTCGAGCAACTCAATTGCTCTTGTGCCTGCCTCTGCAGAAGTGCTGGTTCCCAGACCTTTGTAGTACTTGCAGACCCACCTCCAAACAGGGAGATACTTCCTCAAGAGCTGTCCCACTTTTTCACAGGGAAGACGTCGCAAGAGGCTGTAAACCGAGCAGGGCAGGCAAAGTGAAGCATGGCAGCAGGGCCCCTTTCCGCCATTATTGGCAGCTTTCCATGCTTCATACTCTGGGACCTTGGCTCTGCTTGAATCCAACCTACATTGCTGAGGAAACAGCTGCGTCTCATGAGCTCCGTCTCTGCAGCCGTGGAGCTGTGAAGAATGTTATGACTGCATCGTCCTTTTTGACCTGGAGAATGCAGCTTCTTGCCCATGCTTTCACATGGCAGTTTACTGCCTTGCAGCAGAGCCATACTGTGCCTGCTAGGCCAGGGCATAACCACCGAAACCTGCCTTGACGATTGGAGTCACAAACTCGCGGAGGAAACCCTCGCACTGCAGCAGCCCGGGGAACCTAAGAGGAGTTGCTGCACGACTGTCACATACTGCTTTCCAGCAAACGGCAAAGACTGGGATCATGTACCAGTGCTGTATGAAGTTGATGACCAGGCCCTTGATATGCGATCCATCAAAGTCCTGGCCGAGCAGGGAATTCTGCTGCAAGTCTCCTAGTCAGAGTTGATTGCTGGCCTGGTCAGTCATGATCATCAGGGAGCCATACCGCAAGCCGCTGACATCCTGGCACTGCAGCCACGGCACAAGTGCATGGGAGCAAGCCATCGCATCATGAGCATTCTCGACATGCCCATCCTGGTAGTCCTTTGTTACATCAAAGGCCATGATCTTCATCAGCGACTCGATCTCCTGCCGAAAACGCTGGCTCCATAGCTCCTCAGAGCCGAAAACAAGCGGGCTAGAGGCCTTGTTGTCCATCATCTGCTTCTCTGAGAGCTCTCTGACATTCCTGCAGGGAGCGGACCTACCCAGAAGCCTGCAAACAAACAGACGCAGCCAGACACTGCACAGAAACCCTGCCTGAGCTTCCCTCTCAAAGGAAACACGCCATAGTGGTCGCGGCCTTCCCGGGGAGCTGAAAAATCCCCGATGAGGCAATATGCGTTAAAGCAAGAAATGGTGCGCGAACTATGGGATACTTGGGGCTCACGGGCGACTGTGGGCAAGGTCCTTATTTCGACGAACACCAAATATGCCTTGCTTTATACCACTTACTTCAGGAACATCACTAAGTAGGTGTTGGGGCTCTATAAAAATCCAATTTTCATGGCTTTGTGATGAATGCATTGTCATTATGGTCTATAATAATCAAGAAACATTCCCGGAAATATCCCAAATCAGGTCACAACCCATCCAGACTCGAACACGGCCGTTGCCTACGATGCTCAAACCGGCGACAGCCAAAGCCTGCAGATGTTAGCGCTTTTCCGTAGACCTCTTGCTCAGTATTTCTACCCTCGTGATTGTTCGTATTCGGGAGGAGGAGCAGCCGCGGCGGCGGCAGCGGCGGCGGCGGTGGTGGTGGTGGGTCGCGGCTATTGTGGATTTTGTGCGTTCTCAAATCTAGGGAAGATCCAGGTAGAGCTTATGGGCAGCTTCAGTGTTACAGCTGCTGGCACCAGAAGTTGAAGTGGCTCTAGAGCCCAGAGAAAACAGGCATCGTCGGCAGTAGCACAGGAAAAATCATGGCATCACTAGTAGCACTCTGATCATGTCCAACTGCTGCTCGTTGCACCTTGATGTTCTTTCATTGATGCAGCACAGCAAGCCTTGGCGGAGTCTCCTTCAGTGACGATGAGGGTGCACTCCTGCGACTGCTTGGTGCCGGCCTTGTTGGCGTCCTGTTCATGCAGCAATCTTCCAAATCTCTTATTCGCCGGGCTATACATGCAGCTGTCCTGTCCAAGCAGCTGTGAAGAGTACAGCAACCGGAGCTAAACAGAACAAGGAGTTTCAAGGACTGTTCTCCTCCAACTTGGGAATCCCAAAGAGCCGTTTCTGAAGGCCCAGATCCTGGCAGACACATGGCTTCAATGCTCTCAGCTCTTGGTGCCTGACTACTGGCACAAGCTTGAGATGCATCAGCCTCAACACAGAAGAGGGAGATCATGACAAATGTGTGGTATTCAATATAGACCCAACATATAGCGAGATCCGTCAGGACCTGTACAAATAACTAAATCTCTAACACAGGTAAGTGCAGGCTGCCTGCATGCGGGAAAGTCTTCTTGCACAAATGAACCCTTAGGTATACTCAGAACTTTTACATCGTGGGACCACAGTGCAGGTAGAAGCGACAGCTCACCCAAGAACTCAAAAGATTCAGATGCTGAAGTTTCGATGCAGCTCTCGGGCAAGGTTTTTTCGAGCGCCACGAGGTCAGCCCAAGCGGAGCACGTCCGGCTGGTCAATCTCAGAGGAGCGCTGGAGCTGCGTGTGTCCGGCAGTGGCTTTTGACCTTCAAGTCAGAACAAGCCCCAGGCTTCCTACATTTCACTTTGGACTTACTTGAGAGCCACGGGCTGGGACGAAAGCTCAATAATGGACAGGAGTGGCGAGACAGGACGTGAAGAGACAGACCATGTACAACCAGAAGAGCACGCAGCCCAGCCCTCACTGCTCGTTAAAGGAACTGCAACCCTCCTACCGAAACCCCTCCTTTACAAAAAACAAGATCCCCCCAACACCCCAGATCCCCCCAAGATGCCCCCAGATCCCCGCCTGATCACCCCAAGACCAAGATCCCCCCAAGAGCCCCCCCAAATCCCCCCAAGTTGCCCCCAAGATCACCCCAACATAACCCACAAGAATCTAGCCCGAAAAGGCCTCCCGCGGCATCACCCAAAAATCCGCCCTACGGTGCAGGGGAGCAAGCAAAATTGGCACCCCCCACCATGATCCCAGGCTCACTCCGTGAGGTACTAAACGAAGCTCCCACACGGGGAGCTTTCGTGATCAGTCTTCCGATCCCATTGAGATTTCTTACTGACTTTCGCAGCTCAGGATCGGACACAGAGCCGTACTTCTCATAGATCTCCCGCATCCGGCGTTTGTGCTCCTGCCGTCCATGAGATCAAGCCGCATGGGAGCAGATCAGCAGCATAAGAAGAGTAGCAGTACTAGGTAGCATCTCTAGCAGCATTCGCGGCCGCAGCAGCACAGTACTGGCAACAGCAGAGGCAGCGGTGGCATGAACAACAGCAGCAGCAGAGGAGTAGTAGTAGTAGCAGCAGCAGCAGCAGCAGCAGTAGTAGTAGCAGGAGGAGGCGCCCCCCCCCCCCTACCAACTAGGTTTCCCAAATTGCGCATGCTGAAACCATGTAAAACCTGAGGAAATATTGGTTTTCGTGGAATGCCAAAATGCTTTGTATTTTCGTAATGCGTGCGGATGCCGGAAAAGGGGGTGAGGCGGGGTGGGGTAGGGTGGGGAGTCGGGGGGGGGGCATAGTGACGTCCATGCGATGAGCGACATGCAAAAACTATTGGCATTTACAGCATGTTGATGATTTTGCGTGGGAGGCACGTTCCGCCATTGCCTTCTTCCTTGTAGGGTCTTGACAGCCCACCCCTCACATTTAAGGGAACATAGTTGGTAGGGGGGGAGGCGGCTAGTGGTAGTAGTAGTAGTAGTAGTAGCAGCAGCAGCAGTAGTAGTGGTAGTGGTACTAGTGGTAGTGGTAGTGGTAGTGGTAGTGGTACTGGTAGTGGTAGTGGTAGTGGTAGTGAGAAGAACTCAACATTGGCACTGGCAGTGATGCTTCTTGTGATCTCAAGCGCAGTACCGGGCCTCTTCCTCTTCACGCGAGATCCTGCTCCTGATCTCGGTATCAGAAGAGCCCTTCGCGCCAGAAGCTCGGGACGAGCCTGGCGTTGTCCGGCTGCGCTGTAAGAACGGACAGTGGGCCACTGGCTGTATGGAGAGAGACGGAGATATGTATATATATATATATGCATTTATTTATTTATCTATTTACTTTTTTATTTGTTTTCTATATATGTACAGTACGGACTCTACAGGTATATGCTATGCCCATATGTGCAAATAGGGAGAAAGAGGAGTATAAAGTGGCCCTGACACTTCTCCGCTATGAGTATGGTTTCCTCGATTCTGATCTGATCTGAGCATCTGTTTACCAAGGCCTCCACTATAGGCGTGAGAGCCACCAAGCATGGAGACACGGCCTTCGGACCTCGTCACCATTACGAGCATCGGAATGGAGTGAGACAGCTTTGGCTTTTCCGGTCCCTCTCCACAAGAATGGAACCCGTAATATCTTGCCCTGAAGGAGTCAGATATCCTGCAGAAGGATGGAAGACTACATTGTGCATGATCAAATTTACCTTTAAGGGCAAGCAAGCGCGCCACCTGCTAAAGCATCACAAAGTCTGTCTAATGCCTATTCTAGGCTCTATACCAGCACGGAATAAACCAGTCCACCAGAGCAGCTGAGGAATTGGCCCGCTTCCCCGCCACATCTCACCCTCGACTGTGGTTGGTCTCTTGGAGTAGGCCTTGCCCACGCCAACCACAGCCTCAGTCACAAACTGTCAAAGTCACCCAAGCCGAACCTGTTCTAACCGTTAACCGACATGCGCCTCTTCTCTAGCTTTTTCTCGCAGCCTCTCGATCTCGCTGGGGTCCATCGAGCCCTGTCACGTCAATAACCCCTATATAACCCTATATGATCCCTATATAGTCCCCATAGAACCTCTATATAACCCCTATATATTCCATACAATGAAGGCACGTTCCTTGCAAAGTGAATACGGGCTGCTGCACGCCACCCGGCCTTGTAGCGGGCCCAGTCTGGAGAGCTACCCCGGCCTCGGAGCTTCTCAGCGTTCATGGCAGGGCCCTGCATACTATCATGATCCTATATTGTACTATATTATTATTGATACTTTGTAAGACATGATACTGAAATCTACTATACTATGCTATATAATAATAGAGTATACTGTTTTATAGTATAGCATACTATATTACACAGGGGTCGCTGCAAAACAAAACAAAAAAAAGCCCAAGACTCCTTGACCAAGGAATAGTGCTTGAGAATTCCCAAGGCATAGTCACTGAATATTCCATACGTTGCGTGGAAATTCTTAATGTATCTGTGCCTGGTCGCATGTCATTTTTGCTCATGAAGGGATATTGAGATTTCCCAAAAATGGGGGTGCCACTTGGGGAACTTTTCACGGGTCCCCAGAATAAGGATAAATACTACTCGGGGTTCTATATTGGGTCCCCCTATTCGTAACCACCCTAAACCCTAAACTTTCAGACTGACCAGACTTTCACAATGTTTGTTCACAGGGCGTTCATGCTGGGCTTCATACGCCTTCGGCTGCGGCTACGGCTGCCACCTGATGAATCAATATTGGGGACCATGACCCCAAAACATACATACACACCTTCAAAGGAAAAGAAGACTGCCTTTTTGCGAGCACGGATAGTACAGGTCACCATGCAAAACACCTTTTTTGTGGTAGGGTCAGGCGAATATACCATTACCTGAAGAGGTCTTGTTGATCCAGTAAGCGCTTGGCGATGTCTGCTGCGACTACGACTTCTGCTTCGACTGCTGTCGCGGTCGTCCTTTGCAGGGCGGAGTCGCCATTGTAGCAGCGAATATGACATTGCTGGCAATCACAGACATGTGCTTATACTATGGAAATGTAGAAAAGAATATGTTGCTAATCACGGTAAATGTTCCTTCCTGATAATACTCCACAAAAGTTCTAACAGTGGTGAATGAGCCTTCTTGTCTTTCTTTTTCTTTTTGTTGTCCGGGTCCTTTGTCAAGGGCAAGCAATCAGGAGCCGGAAGTTGAAGATTCCTCGTTTGGGAAAAGTCCCATGGCCGTGCCTTTAGATGTCGGGGCTGAACCGCTCTAACTGGCAAGGGCCTTGCCCCATGGGCCACTTCCTGGCCCTTAAAATTGAAGGTCAAAGGTGCTTCGTCCTTTGTCTTCTCCTCATCTTCCCCCTCCTTCTTGTCGTCCTTGTTCTCTCGGGAGCTGCTAGCAACGTATGCGCCACGCTTTTGGTCAAACTAGCAAACTACACGCCACCCAGCTCCCCAGGCAAGCCCCACTCTGGTTATATAGAAGAATATAGAGGTTACATAGGGTTTATATAGGGATAATGGAAAAGAAAATGGAAACTACTATGTAGGGGTAACAGGAGTCTAAACTACTTCGCACAATCCTCTAACATTTGCCTACCTTTCACTGAGTCAGCCCTCCCCGCACCAATGTGCTTTTGCTCTGGCTCTGGGCCTTTTAGCGTGCGGCCCTGCCAACATAACTGATAGGAAGAACCACTTCCTCGTGCCATGCCATGTGACGACCACAGCCTCAGCTTTCTCGTCTTTGTCGTGGTCCTTGTCTTTGTCCTTGTCTTTGTCATCTACTTCCTCATCTCTCAGCACAACCTGAAAAAGCAGGAAAAGTCAAATCCAATCGTGGCATGCCTTGAAAGGAGAACTGCGCAATCTGCTTATCTCCCTCTCAGGAAGGAGGAGGCATGCAGCCGGATTTGGGGCCGACAGGGTGCCAGCCATCCACACACTGCCAAGCAAAACCCTGAGATTAGCAATTGCAGCTCTGGATTCACGTCGGGTTCCAACGCCTCTCCTTGGAAACGCCAGGATAGCCCGGGTTGAGACTGCTGTGTAGGGTTAGGAACCGCCACCAAGACCAGCAGCCAGCACAAGGCAGACAGCCACTTACCACGGTTACTCACCAAGAAAGCCAAGGCATGGGAAGCATCATGAACTTTGTGCATCACGAGCTGTCCCATTATGTTGCACGTGTGCGTCGGAATTGTTCGCCCAAAAAATGCAAAAGGCAACAGACACAAGCCCTCGAGGCCCTCTGATTGCTGCACCTGTTGCTCTGCCCCGGCCTTTCCCAAGTGGGACTGTACCAGTGTGCCATCCTCGAGCTGAATGCCCACTCTTCGCTTGTGCTGGCCTCAAAGCTCATAGCGGGGAGATCTAGGGTTACATAGGGTCATGTGTGGTTTGGGGTTTAGAGGCAGTCCGAGGACAGCAGCCGGTGCAAACGCGGCAGATCACTGAAGCATGCCGTCAGGTAAGCCCAAGCCCACACCCGGCCTACGTAGTTCTTGATGTGGCCAGGTATCCAGCTGCCGTCAACATAGACTTCCACTGCTGTACCGGCAACCTCCGATTTGTCGCGCATGCGGGCATCTCAGAGTTTTGGGTCTTCGGACCCTTCCGATAAGGCTTATGTACTTCGGGGGGGGGGGGGGTGCGAAAGACGAATATCTTGAGAAATGAGATGTTGTGTTCCTGTGCGCCCTCGGCGTTTTCAAGCTGCACCAATTACCCCATTCTAGAAGCAGCGGCGGTGCATCGCTGATGTTGCTGGTCTGTAGAGTTTGCAGCTGTTGTGGGTGCACAGCTTCCAAGATTACGACTAGCACCAATACTCTTGCAAGCCTCACTGACATCACTGTGTTTGTGGTTGTTGAAGGTAAGTTTGTGGTTGTTGAATGTAAGCTTTTTTCTTGAAGCTTACCAAGTCCATGCCGCGCCAGATTCTGTGACCTGGTGACGTGGAAGACTTGAATCAGGGCTCTGCCGTTGAACCGGACCTTCTTCGCAGGCAGTTCTCTCTGGACAGCAGCCATTCGCTTTCGAAACCTGCCACGCAGAAGTAGCTCGGAAATCGCCCCTTTGCAGAAAAGGCGGGTCGTGCCAAAATGAAGGCCAGCTACAGTAACCCCCCCTTTTTTTAAACAGGGCACAGATCAGGACCCACAATACGAGACCGCGGTTTTGGCACAGACCCCAGGCAGCATACCGAAACCAAGGCGGAGGCTGTGAGAGGGGGGCAAGCTCCTTCTCCAGCTGCTGCCGAACCTGCACGGCACTGATTCAGATGAGGATTTCTCAAGCTAGCTACGGGACATAGATGTGTATAGCGATTGAAACCCAATTCGAAGGTCCATTACAGAATTAAGCTTGGATTCTGTTGATAATCTCCCATAAAGCCGCTCCTTGAAAGCAAGCTCCCTCTGTGTACACACGTCTGCCCATGGAATAGACAAGCCCCACGGCTTCAGAAACTCTCACTACCCGCATGGAGCGTTGTGAGAATCTGGTTTGATCAGGCTTCTAGTGCTTGCAAGGGATATCCTAAGGTACTGCATAATCCGGGAGCACATTGGCAATGATCAGAAGCAGTTCAAACTTGGAAGAGTAATACCTACTACCCTCATCAGGGTCGTAGTGGCAATTACATTCATGTCAATATTAGAAGTTGTGCGATGGTGGCGGTATAATTTACAGTACCACCACATACACAAGAAACATCACGGAAAACAGCAGAAGCCGCCTCTCCACGATGAGCTAGGGGTAAGATTAGGGTCATATTGGGATAATAGAAAATTTAGGGCTTATTAGATTTCACCTCAACCGTCGCAATACTCCCTGACCCTTCTGAATCGACGCCTTCATCAATTGGATTTGAAACTTGCGAACAGGAATGCATCCACGACTTTGGGCCACCAGGGCATGTGTCAAAGTGTGCGCCCCCATTTCTCCAGGATCCTACTGAGTTTGGAAAAATGGATACTGTAGGGGGGTTCTCTACAAGGACAGAACACGCAACTCCATGGAACATGTGGGATGATCGAAAGGATGACATCAAAGTTGTACCCCTAGTTGTAATGACCTCCACCCAGCAGCCAACATGACAAAACGTAACAAGAAATGCAAAACAAAACAAAAAGGCAGACGGGCCTTCACAGGAATTCTTGGCAGCGGCGTGTTGTAATATCTGTCCTTCAGCGACGCGTGCACTAATTTTTAACAGCCATACAATTCAACGTCCCAACCAATCAAATGACAGCAAAAGAATCCAATAACAACAAAAGAATAAGGGCCAGGACACTAACCTGGGGCTGCTTATGGGTGCGTGTTCGCTGCAGGTTTTCTTACTAGCTGAAAAATGTGTGAGTTCATGGTTGGGTTTTGAAGGATTGTTGATACTCATCAAAGCCAACCTTCCTTTCATCCTGCTTGACTCATGAGTTTTCACGTGAGCATACACGCTGTTGGCTGGCAACCGTATGGAAAAAAAACATCATGAAGGAAGAACCCTATTCTGAAAAGAGAGAGAGAGAGAGAGAGAGAGAGCACCCTGACACTATAAGGAATCCTTTGGTTCCCAACCAAAACAACTGTACTTAAGGCACTTTGCCTATTGTCGACTATCACTGCTTCGGCTGGCGCTGGACAACCAGCAGCTTTAAGCAAGCGTTAAGTTCATCTGTTGGAATCCGCTTGGAAGATGCTCTCCTCCTGATTGTTTAGTAGAAACCTGACAAGGACAGAACCCTTCCTTGTCAGGAAATATGAGCAGCCCTACTGAAACAACACTCATGCAGAAGGTAGCAAGGAAGTCTGTCGGCGATGCAGCCTTAACCAGCAGGTTTTCCACATATTCGCGAATGGTGGTCGTCACCTGCGCTCGTCTCTCTTACCCTATTGCTTGTGCATTACGTGACGGTGCTTTCTTATTTCTCGTCAAATTTAGGCTACCGCAGCGTGGATGACATCAAGTACGCTTGTCCTTAAAACCTTCCTCAAAGCGTGCCTGCTTGTCACCATCCACGTACTTCAACTCCTGCTCGTCAAAGAGGTTCTCCTCTAGCTTGTCGTACAACTTGTGCGGAGGTACCTGAATTTCTTGCGTGCAAGAGGGAAATGCTTGTCACAGTCTCCTTATTCAAAAACGCATGGTGGCCTTACAATCACCTGGAAGGCTACAATTGGAGGCTTGGGATCCGTCAAGGGAGTGTCTAGATCGGATCGTCTCAGCATTGAACAGTATTGAACATCTCATTGTTCCTGTTTGGGCCATCCTGATGATGATGATGATGATGAGGATATGATGATGATTTTGATGATTATGATGATGATGGCGACAATGGAATTAGAGGTTTTCTGCTTGCTGTGCTCATGCTCCCAAACAAAGCAGCCCATCACAGCTACAGATCATTTGCACAGCATATACCCCGCATCATAAGCATCCCTTCATTCCCGTGAGTCTGACATGCAACAAGGACGACATCGCTGCCATTTTAGCTTTGAAAACAGCATGGGACTCCTACAAAGCCCCCGTTCAACCCCTACATCCCTACATAATCCTTCCAAAGCCCGAACATTCAACCCTCATCTTTGAATTCTTGCAAGAGAACATGGTCGAAAGCTTCGGAATGAAGACCTATTTGTCCGGGGCGCCACAAAGCGCACGTACAAGAATGCTGCGCAGCGAACCTGATCACCCACGGAGATTCCGCACTGTAGGGGTAATAACGGGTTCAGAGGGATGAAAACAGAAAAAGAGGGGTATGTAGGCTACGTTTCGGGATTAGCGGTTAGAGTCTTGGCATGAAGGTATGGGGCGTATTTGGTATCAACGGGGTGGATATGAGGGCTGCTTTGGGTGACAAAGGTCTTCTGACATGAGCCGAAACGGAGACCAGAAGAGGGCACTACGAGGGGATCAACAAGGGTCCCGAGGAATGATCAACAAAAAAAATACAGAACGTTCAATTTCAGTTTGGCGTGAAGTGTGACCTGGGATTGCAGGGTGAATCTTGATTGCAATTCTGGGGCTTCTGTGATTCCTTTGCAAATGTGAGCCATAGTCTTAAGTCCTAGTGCCCCCCTAACACCCTTGTAGTAAACCCCTACATAATCCCTTATATAACCCCTTTTGAGAAGTTTAGACTCTGGCTCATGTTGGCTGACGTTCAGGTCTGGATTTCTTTGCTTAGCGGGCTGGGCCCTGAAAATCCTCAGCAATGGTGCTTTGATTTCAGACTGTCCCTTGTTCCAATCCATGATCCCATGAACCCAACTTTTTCAGCTGGATGGTAGATAGGCTAAAGGCTATAGGCGATAAGGGTCATCCAATGAGCTTCTTCGTGATAAGACCTTGGAGTCCAGCAGTGAAGCCTGAGAGTTCCTAAGAGTTCCCGAGCCATTAGCTGTGATCAAAGCATCGGAGCAAATGCTTGCCACCTTGGCAGAAGGATTCGCATCCAGAACTGCCAGCAGCTCGTCCAAATCCTCTGACTGCGGCAGCGTGAACAGGCGGTAGACCTTACGGAACAAGCACAGATGGAAAAAAAAAATCACCCTTGCGCCTGACTTGCTGCTATCCAATTTGTGATTTAGCATAATGCCTTTCGGCTTGCCCCCCCCATGGCAGCAGAAATCAAGCAGGCAACAGCCGCGCAAGAGCAGAGGAGACTCCTGCCTGACAAATGAAGCAGGAAGGGTGCACGTTGTTCCCCGAGTTGTAAACGTCAAGGGTGTCGGCCTTGGAAAGCTGTTCCATGAGCCTATTCACGCGTTTCCAAACTCAAACACAGCACGGATTGCCTGGAATAGGAGTTTCTCAAAACGATGGGCCATCCTTTTGGGGATTTTGAGCATGCATCCCCATATCATTTGCTACACCAGGGGCCCTGAGCTCAAGAAACTCCCAAAGCACAGTAGTAAGGCACACCACGGCAGTATCAAAGGAGCTGACATACTTCGCAATCTCTTCCGTCAAAGGATCGAGATCGCTGATTTCTAATAGGCTCTTGAAGTAACTGGAGCCAAAGATCTGGTCCTCAAAAAGGTACACTTCTTTGGCTAAATGAGGGTTACGGGGGTTGAGGAGCGGCAGTGGTTCTTCAGCGAGTACACTTTGATGGAACAATGATTTTATGCAGGGGCAATTCCGGGGACTACACATGTGTGGTGCAGGAGTGTAGGACGCCTCAACAATGAAAAACTCGAACAGCAACAGGTTTTAACACTATGTGAGCTCACGGCATGTGCTCAAGCTAAAACTCACATTGGCGGTCCTTCAGCAAGCTGCTGCACTTGAAAGTGCGACGAGAATAGTCTTCGTCTTCTTCCTTGACACACAGCGGAGTGGCAGCCAACCCCAACACGCACACTCAGAGAAACTATATTGAAAACAAGGTTGCGGGCAAGCATTGCTGCAAATTGTTGCTACTGCAGACTGCCATGTGTGTAGTGCCGGCAGCGAAACTGCTTCCACGCGTGGCAGTGCCTTTTCCACCTCCTTGGGTTTGGATTTGTCTTCCTTGTGCTTGCTACCTCAGGACATCCAACAGCTGTGTGCACCCAGTTGCATGCTAGGCGCTGGGGACCGAGCCTTCTTTGTCAACCTGCCCATTGCACGGCCACGGACTTGCTTACAGTTTGCATCTGGTGCCGTGCATTCCAACCCCAATACACACAGCAGGCTGCCCCCGGTACTGGGGTACAATAATAATAGTGATAATAGTAGCAGAAATGCCAATAATCATAACAATGGTAGTAGGTTTCTCCACAGGGCCTGGCCTTGTCAGGCTCAGCAGGCTTACATTGCGCCTGGCTTTGATTGGAAAGCCATCTCCTGGCAAGTCGGGGCTGCGATGCACAGGTCTTTTAGGTTGTTTAGGCTAGGGGGCCTCAGAGAATTAAGGGATTCCCTCATACCCGCCAGAATGCCCAAACACACGGGCATTTCTCAAAAAACAGGTGCGCTTGGGTGCCGTGTTGATGCACTGCAAGTTCATTGGTGAGAAACCGGCTTTAAGGAATGCCCACATGCTGCCAAGGCGTTGCTTCTCGTATCATTCTGGACAAATATCTTTCCCAACATGATATAACTCCGATTCCTTTTTTCTTGCTGGCATTTCTTGAGACATCAATACAACACAGCCAAACATGCCGGATTGCTGGCAGAACTTGCACTTTGCGTTGGGCTTCTTTGTGTTGTGAAGGTGACATCTGGGAGGCCTCGGCATCCACCCAACGCATGCTAGACAGAAAACTTCTTGCACCAACAAGGAACCCTCTAGCATGTAAAAAAGTTCTGGAAAAATCAACTTACAATACAATTCCATCCCGAAAACGCAGCCACAACCTTTCCGCAGTGCCACATATCGAATGTTAGTTGCCGCGCTCAAATTCTGGACCTCTGGAAGGAATCTCATGCTGGGGGGTTCTTCTCAACAGGACCATGCAGCGCATGTCTCCGTGCCGGTATGGAAAGTTGAGGCTGCAGCGTCTTCTCTCGAGGCGGGGTAGGCTCCCGAGCTGGCTCGGGCTCTTGCTCCACCTGTAAGCACCGCCATTGAAGCCAGAAGGATATTGCGAATGATTCGAGAAGCCCTACCACAACAAAACAAGAGCAGTAGTACTGTGGAACTGGGCTTCCCACCTTCGAAGGCGCCCTCACAGCGTCTCGACTACGACTTCTCTCGCGGTGGACCGCGCCAGGCGGTAGCCCGGGTCCCGGTGGCAGCTTAGCCTCCAGGATGGGCCTGGGCATACCACAAGAAGGGCTATCCAGAGATCGGAGAGGCTGCAGCCGAACCGGAGTTATCGAGGTTCACTGAAAGAAAGCTCACCCTGGGAAACTCAAGAAGAAACCGAGCCCCAGCCGAACAAGCCGGAAAACGGTAAAGTCCGTCGTTGGTTCAATGGACAAGTTAGAAGTCGAATCAACCGATGCAAAAAGTATCAAGCAGCATTCCAAGCAAGTGGCTGGGTGTCGACCTTTGGCGGCACCACTGGGGGCGTGCTAACCGCAGGGCTGACTCCAGCACCTGGACACGGCTGCTTGATAAAAGACATCTATCTCTTGCACGTCAGATTCGTTTGCACTTCCATCCTGTGAAAGCCTCTCCACAAAGTTTCAAACATGCAAGTACCTCCATAACTGGACCGCAGCTCAAGTCTGCTTAGTACGTCCCTGAAAATGAGATCGCTACTCCGATCGGCTCCTTGTCCGGTCTGTGACGGCGTCTGGGCGCCTGGGAATCGGACGCAGATGTCACTGAAGCAGCAACTTCCAGGTTAGTGGGCTCAGTGAGCGAAGCTACAGATCTCTTGAACTATCAACTGGCTGCGATAAGTGCCATGCATTCACTGGCCTGGGATACCGGGTCTCATGCCCATGCCGGCGTTCATGCCCATGCCCATCATGGGGTTCATCGGCATCGCCATCATGGGGTTCATAGGCATGCCCATCATGCCCATCATGCCCATCATGGGCATGCCCATCATAGGCACTCCCATGGGCATCCGCATGCCTGAAGTCACTTTGCAACTAGAAGCCAGACTTTGCTGCACAGGTCAAGTGCCCAACAACAAGGATAGCCCGCCTTGGCCCGTGCCGCCCATCATCATGTTCGGCACGCCCATCCGCATGTTGTTGGCATTGTTGCCACCACCCTGCATAACCCGTGGACGCCGCCCAAGGAGGCTGCTCCACCTGAGCATGCAAACAAAATCCTCGAAACAGTTCATGCTGCTGACAAGCAGCCTACTACAGGCCCCAACTGTGCTCTGAAAAAGCCTGAGGACCCTGCGCTGGCGAAGACTACCAGATTGGCGTTCCCTCCCTTCCCGAGTGCGAAAGGGCACTCAATATCTACTTACAAAGACACAGTTCCTGTGGGCCAAGATGCGGCATCGGGCGGCAATACAGCCATTGTGACATCCAAAACTTCGGCCAAAGCTCTAGTCATCAAATGTCAGCTCATCGAACTGGCCTGATGTCACCTTCACTCGTCCCTACGTCTACAGACCCAAAAAAAAACGCCAGCATGACGCTCTTGTTGAGATGCCGTGCAAGTTCGCCTGGCAGTGATGCAAGGTTTTTGAAGTAACTCCAAGGTTTCTGGTCCTGCCAATGATGGGGTCGCCTTCCTTGATGGGTATGTAAAGGGGCGAAACTCTCTGCTCGCAACATCAGGATGCCGTATAGGATTAAAATAGGGGTCCATTCCATTTGACCTGATGCCTTAACAGTGGGACCCTTCAGCTGGGCACAAAATGCCTGAGCCCTAATCACCCCTGACCGTGAATAGTACCGAAAAACCTGTATCACCTTCCTCCCATATCCAAATCTTGGCGTATGATTCCCACAACCTTGCCAAAACTCCTGCATAACCTCATGCACATACACTTATGCGCATATGTACCTTGCAGCCGCCCTAACAAAAAGGCTGAAAAACTCCCACGTCCCCATATGAGCTATAAACTCCTAGCATCCTGCTTCATGACCCTAAAATAACCCCCTAGATAATCCCCTGTATAAACCCCTTAAGGAGTTTAGACTATAGCTCATATGAAGCACGACTTCGGGGCTCCAACTCTTGCCCATGGCTTTGGACCACTCCTGCAAGGTCTCGACCTCAGGTGTCTAGGAATATGGGGTTTCCCAAAATCAAAGGTTATATTGGGGTCTTATTGGGTTTATATAGGGTTTAGGGATTAAGGTTTTTTTCTCGGACCTTTTTCCAACCCGCTTAGAGTCAGAAAGCCATGCGGCCAGGTCGCTGCAAGCCCCTCTTCGCCTGAACAGAACATCCAAACCACACCCTTAAAAAATTATCTCACCCCACCCCAAAATGTCAAGAAATCACATGTGCGCCAGTGGCTCAAGAATATCATCAGAGCTCCACAGGAGACCATTACTGTACGCGGCACACATCACACTGGAAGATCAGCACGGGGCAGACTAGAAGCCACAGCCCCAAAAGCAACCCTTTGCAAAGCGCAATCCACACTGCAAAATCACAGGGCAAAACGGTTACTTGCGGGTTTAGGGCTTAGGGTTTCCCAAAAGTTACGGATACCTTTTTGCGGGCCCCTATGCTAAGCATCACAAATTAGGGTCGATATTGGGGCCCCCTATTTGGGGAAATATTTCGGAACTGAATAAGCCACATTGGCATGAGGTCTATGGAGCCCACCTCAGAATGAACCTTGCAATCTTGTAGTAGGATCATTGTGTTGGGAAGTCCCTGAAATCCTGCAAGATCTGCTAAATTCATGGGTAGCGCAGGATCAAATCTATGAAGCACAGGGAGCATCTCAACAAAGTACAACCTGTTAATATTGTTATTATTGCTATTGTTATTATTGGGATTATATTGGGATAATGGAAGATAAAGTGGCAACTACCATTGTGCTATTCTTTAGAAGGTTACCATGAGCGATGAGTGCAGACCCAGCTTATGATCCTCCACCGTGCCCATCTCAACGCCATATGCAACCCATGATATAACGTAACCCTGACAAATATGCTGGAGTTCCTGAATCCAAGCTTGGGCCGCCACGATGCCGCTACTGCAGACGCTTTTGAGCAGCTCTTCCGACCTAACCGAAGCAAAGCCACCATCCCCGTTCTGCGGTTCTGCAAGTTCTGGATCTTGTTGAGCTGTTCAAGCGTCCACATTAACATGCTTTTGGCACGCGAATGTTCCTGGGACCTCTCCATGGGTTTCAGGCATAGAGGGGATTCCGCGCAATCGGGGGTACCCTTTTGGGGGTCCCCATAATACGGATTGAAGTATTTTGGTGTCTATATTCGGGCACCTCAATTTAGGGAAACTACAATACAAGGTCACGCTTCATGCACAGAGCTGCGTCTCTCAAACGCTGGAGGTCCTGTCTCACCTGCTGCTTTCGGTATGGGGGATACCATATTCTTTAGGCATAGCTGTGTGTGATGCAGGTGTGAGGCCATCACAGCTCACAGGTCGAGCCAAAGCGCTCCTTCTTCGTGGTCAGCGTCTCCTGCAGGCCCCTAAAATTATGATAGGCTTCCCTTGGGCCGCTGCAAAAGTGACAACGGGGATCTAGCAAGTCATGGTTTCCGCGCTTGACATGTACACCTTGAAGATTAAGATGACAGATCTGAGCTAAACACAAATGTGTCACAGTGCCTTTGACCATTATGGTTGCTGATCCAAACATTACTCATTGCTGGTGTGCATAACTACAGCTATAGCTACCCATGAAACTACAGGCCCCCTGCCTTGGTCTGCGAGTCGAAGGCCGGGTTCTCAATCAAGCAGTTCACGAACACCCATAGGTGATTGCGCACCTTACCCCGGGAACCCCCAGTGAGAAGCAGATGGAAGTTGCTTGTTTACGTGGGGACACGTGGGGACTGCTCAAGGAGTACGTGATGCTATGCAAGCTTTGTGGCCCCCCAAACTTGGGGTGCCCATCATGGCTGGACATGCAGTCCCCCATTCATCGGAAATGCCCTTCTTGACGGACATTGTAGAGCTTCCAATGTTCTTCCAGTTGTGGATTTTTTTTGGACAATGAAAGCACCTACTTAGGTGCTCTGGGGCAGAAGCCCAATGACCTCAGGACCAACATGAATAAGTCCCTTCCCATCCCACCAGGACCTGAGACACGGACGTGCTGGGGTTTGACTGCCAGATTTCCCGCCTTGGCCTTGGTGCTCCAGTCCCATGTAGTATACAAGATTCCAACACAATATAACTTAGTATGATGTAGTATAGTACAGTATGGTATAGTAGAATGTATAGACCACTTTGTTTGTGTAACACACAGCTCCTGATAGGAAATACAAGATCCCGCAGTCCCTGTTTGAGTTTCCTATCTTCATTTATCTTCATTCAGGTCACCACTCATGTGGCGACTAAGCTTCACACGCCCTTCTCCTTGGTCATCTCCTCCATCACCGCAGCAACCACCTGAACTGTGCCTAAAGGCTGCATATGGGTCATATAGGGGGTAGATAGAGATGCATGAAGGTTTCTAGGATTACACCTGATTTAGACTCCTGAGGCGACAGTGCTTCACAAGCGTCGACATTACAACGCTGAAATTTCAACCTTTTGCACACGCACGCATGTGGCTCGTGGTTTCTGCTTTTCCTGCGCCCTGAAACCTAAAACCTGAACAAAGGCTCCGTCCCACTGTCCAGCCTGCTCAGCCACATAGTTCACGTGAGTCCCTCCTGCGAAGCCGACCCGCAGCCATCTTATCGCTTGGCTGAAGTAAGTAAGGAATCCTCTGGCAACTTATGCGGTCCATGTTACTTCGAAGAAATTTGCCAGAATGCTGTTGCTGGGGTACTGCGGCTGTATGAGAGGGGTACCAAACTGTTACTGGTATGTCCTGACGCCTTGCTGCAATGACCCCATGAGAAAATGGAAGAATGCATCTTTGCAAGGATTGCTTAGTGAGGAACCATTGACGACATGACCACATGACTGCGTCCTCGACTGGTACTAATGGAGTTGACGAAGCTTACTTGGCGAAAGCCACTCCCTCAGTAAGCAGGTGAGGAAAAGCTCAAGTCCAGGAGCAGCAGAATTATTCTGCTGCCACCAGCAACTTCACTGCCATTCTTGGGCAGCAGCCGTCAGTGAGTGCAACAGCCACTTCCCATCTGTCGTTGCAAACCTCACACATGAGCTTGCAAAACAAAGTTACTCCCTACAAACAAGTAACAAGTACCTTTGGGTATAGTTTTTTGGGGTGCAGTGTTGCTTTGGACTGCCTCCCGGCGACAAAACCTGGAGGCCTTGGACAAGGCAACTCAGCATACTTGCCTCGGATATCCTGAAGTCATCGGGGTCCAGGAAGAGGCTGACGTAGTCCTGCAGCCAAACAAGTCCATACAAGGAATTGCTTACTCATGGCTAGTTAGGAAAGTGGGATGGAAATCGGATTCCTCTAGCCACAAGACAAACACAGATTGACATCCAGCTAAACAAGGTCCGTCCTCGAAGGAGTCCACCTCCAACACCTGCCCGTTTAAGTAGACCTCAGCCCAGAAAGGCAGCACTAGGAGATTGTGTTGGTTGAAGATTTTGGGCTTTGTATAGGATCTTTCTTGGGACGAAGCGGCCTCCGCAGGCAGGACGTTGGATTTGCTGATGCTCTGAGGAGTTGGGGGTCAGATCTCCTCCTGGTCACTTAGGAATATCTCCTCAGGCTAGGCTTGTACATGTGGCACCTTATGATCCCTTCTTGGTCCTGCTTCTCGTTATACGTTTGTGGTTCTCCTCAACATTCGTGTGGACAATGGACAGCTGCCCTTCAGCTTCCTCTTTTTCTGCTGTGAAGAATCAAGAGCTTGGCCTCTTAAGGGTATGTCAGGTTAGTGGCAACCCTTCGAAAGGCAGGACGAACCGTAACCTGTCTTCAAGGTGGACTAATCAGGGAATCGAACGGGATTCTGCAGGCGAGAAACAATCTCTCACAAATATCAAGAAATTGCATCAATCGGCCCAAAGTCTGATCCAAAAAGTCTACACCCACAGCTTGACTGAGGACTCTACCTCGCAGCGTCCCCGTGTGGAGGCAGCAACGTCGTAGGCACGTCGCTTCATCAGCTCAACAATGTCGTCCTGTCCGCTTGGTGATTTTAGATGTGCAGGCTTGGAGGACTCAAACGAGTTAAGATCAAGGGCCGTGGCACTTCAAGATCTCGAAGTTTCAAGTGCTTAGGAGCCTAAAAAGCCAGACCCCACCTACAGAAAAGGGCCCAGGATTCAGGATGGCGTCAGCATGGCAGAGAGCTTCATTGCAAGGTCCTCCAAGTGCGTCATGCCAAATCGCGACAGATCGGGCTCAAAGGCAACTGAGGTGAAGTCCTGGCGGCGGAAATGAAAGGGGTCCTCCTTGCATGCCGCAGGCCGCAGCTACTACAATCCTTACTATAAAAACTCTCAATCAAGGATTCCTGATTTTTCAAACATCTCGCAATTGGTGACAAGAGAGGCAGGGTGATGCTTGGTGCGATCTCTGCAATGAAAGCGTGGTCGTTCGGACTTGCTCTTTTTGATCTGCCAATGACATCAAGGATGATGATGCCGAGTTTGGGTGAATTAGTTACTGTTTGGCATTCTCACTCATATATGCTCATATCATGAGCACTGTTTGCTGCACGACCTGCACTCCTGCTTATGGCATGGACTCATTTACTCAACAATTGGGACTTGTTTGGCAATTGTTCAGTAATTGTTTAGTGTTTGCTGCAGGGTTTTGCGAAGTGCAGAGCTCTGATGATCCTTCCCACGGTGCGCGACAATTTCTGGCTCATCTGCTCGCCTCCTGAGCCCATAAATGCTTTCTCAGTGCGCGTGTCTTAAAATTAGGGATACCGTTAAAGCGGTTATAGGGGAGATATATACATATATAAATATATAGGGCCATATATCCAGATTTATGATTTAGGGATAGGGATTGTATAGGAATATTACCCCCAAAAATGCAGAATCACATGGAATTGGAAGCTAGGGTTATGTAGGGGCTGCAGGGTATGGTTTCCGAAAATTATTACCCTTTTTGGGGGTCTCATAAAAGGGCCTCTAGCAAATTGTGGTCTATATCGAGGTCTCCCTATGTAGGGAAACAATCAGTGTCATCCTAGACATTGCTGGCCTGCCATTTCTGTAGTTGCCAGCAACATCTATGCAGTTGTTGCAACCATGACTGCTATTGATACCATAATTCCGTTGGTAGAGCAGGTAGCAATGCGGGATGAGGATGAGCCGGAGGAGGGTAGACACTGAGCATAACTGTTGCCATCTCTGACTCTTGCAACAGTTGCTATCTCAACAACAGGCAGGAAGTGGGAGTACTCGAAATTGTTCGACCGTTGTGTTTTTGAAGTGATGCAGGAGGAATGCTGCAAGGGCTACGGAATCCTGAGAAACGTGGGTCGTTCTTTTGGGCTTTGTGATCAGGATGCTAGAATATTGAAGTCTATGCGGTAAGATTTGTACTGACAATCTGCGAAAATGAGGAATCTCCACACATTACTTACTTTACATATATATATATATACGTACACTTATACACTCGCACGCACCAAAACCCCAAACAAGAAAACACGTCTCAAGAAACGCTGAATTTACGTGGGGATCAGCAAGGAATATGGGAATATTTTATTGAGGGAGCATATATTCCCTTATTCCGTCCTAACAACCGGTAAGTCAAACTAAGGCCGAGGCATGTTGTCTCTCCACTGCTGCCGATACTTCTTACGACCTCACCACGGTGGCCGTGACCAGGGGGGTCATCCCTTTATGGCTTGCCTGTTTCATGCGGCTCCTACTGCGGAGGATAGAAAACAACTTAAATTTGACAACTTCTCATCAAGAATTCACAAGACCTGTGCAAGCAAACAGTGTTACGTTCAGGGAAACATGGCCTAAACCTCAGAATATGAGGTAAAAAGCTTCGAACGTGTCAGCCGGCTACTTTTCCAGATCGCTCTCCCTGCACACATTTCACTCAACCAAAGCTCACACTGAGCGCTGCGCTGTCCGAATCGGCAGTTTCCACCACGAACCTTTTGGAATAGATGTTGGTGAGCTTGGCACCATAGCCTCATCTGAGCTGTAGTCATAAAAATTTTCGAAGGTCAGAAACAGAACTCCTAACCGACATTGACTTGTGGCCAAAGCCAGCGCCACTTCTCGGTCCTGGTCATCATTCTGTGTTTCTGCTTCAGACTCTTAAATCTTGCCGTCTTGCCGTCCATGAGCGCAGGCTCGTTGGCGACTGGCAAACCTGCCTTGCGTCGCTTGTCTGTCCAACAACCACCGAACAACAAGTTCAGCCAAGGACGTGCCCCACTTCTATTTTTTATGCTGGCCCTCCCGTACCATTCGATCTGTCACAACCTTCTTAGCCGCTTGCTCAAGAAAATAAACATCCAGCCGGCACAGAAACTCAAAGACTTCCTTGCCAACTTTAAAAATGATTCTGGAAAAGCACTGAAAGGACTTTCATGAGGAGATCTTGAAGCTGCTCCTTCTCCTTTGCCAATTTGCTGTCAACTCCCAGTTCACAACGGAGTGGGGCTTGGTGGACCCATTTTCCTCCAAGACGGGCAACATTTGCACAGGCTTGCCATCTGGAGCAGTCCCTACTGCAGCCAAAACACAGTCCGAAGCTGTGGCTCCTGAGTCCCCTGAGGCAGAAACGTCCGTAAAGAATCGTAAGGATATGTCTTTCGAAGGCACCGCCCATGCACGTCTTCGTTGTGAAGTACTGCGAACACTTTACCCAGAGCTTTTGGTCAGTGTACCTGCGAAAAACAATGCGTGCACCGCACAGGTTGCAGGTCACCGCAGGGTGATTGCGCTTTGCCATCACCCGGAGCTCGGCCACAGTGGATAGCCTGTTCCGTGGCGTCTCAGCAGGAGGTGCTGCCTGGGGGGCTTTCGGTCCTTGTCAGAGTCTCTGGGCGGGGAGCGTTAATCATCCTCACAAACAGCTAAGAGCGGGGCTACACACGTTGCTGACCTACTGCGATATCCCCCACGCGCCTGGAGGCAGGGGGCTTCAAAACTGAAAGTTGCACTTTTCGAACCCCCCCAACCCGACTTTCGACACAGGTCGCTGCCTGTGTATATTTGATGGATCCGCTTTCATTGTTGTATCTGACCACAGTTCAACTGCTGCACTACGGCTGGATGTGTCTGAAGAGGCAGTTCCACCAAGAACTCCCCAAGAGGATCCTTCACTAACGCTGTTGAAATGAGCTCTTCCGCCATCTGACTAGAAACACGTGCATTAAAGGAGCCCGACACCTCTTCTGGCTCAATTTGCGGAGGAGCAGCTGGACGCTGCGCTGCCGCGGAGCAGTAACGCATATCCATTCTAAGGGGCTGTTTCTTTTGTTGGTGACACTCTCTCTTATGCGGATGCTTGCGGCGTTCTCTTACAGTTGGGCTACAGGGGGCTAATCACCACCCCCCTGCGTGCAGACCCCCCCTCGCCCACCCCGAATTCCGCGATCCGATGCGACTACAGGCCCTCTAGACGCAATCCCAGCTATCTAACAAGTCCCTAAAGTGCGATAAAAATGGATGCAAGAGCAAAATCCCCCAGAAGTGCGACCTCAGCCGGTCCGCCGAAAGTGGCATGTCGCCGCTGAATGCCCTGCTCTGCGCCTTTCAAGGCCTTGAACTTGCATGATGAACTTCTCCTGGATTTACCCAGCCTTCCCGTGCATCAAAGCCAACCAATATTGCATTGTCTTTGATTTGCTTCATGCGAACTTGCTGGCCGGGCGTGTACTGGAGATCTGCTGCCCGCTTTGTGCTGATACCTTGCATCCTGGCATTATCGCCTGGTCTGGATACACTTCCAATCTGCACCTTTGTCCGCCCAACCAGAACATCGAAAATTAAGAAATGCAGAATCTGACCTATGGCCCCCGCCATCATCACTTCTGAAGAGTGGGTTCAGTGGGGGATCTGCGATGCTGCTGCTCGGGATTTCCACAAGCCTCTGCACAATCTTCAGGAAGCTCTGATGCTCTTGCTCAGCGTACATGGATTCCAAGCGTGCTCGGAGCTCTTGGCGGTCCTTAGCAGCAAGCTCCTTGCCCTTCTCATGTCTGGCGTGCTTGCAGCCGTTGATCATCGCAATGTGATAGCTCTTGCATGCAT